TGAATTTGAATTACTTCGGCTTTAAAATCGCTCTTATTTTCTGATAATGTCGTACATGGACGTCCGTATTTACAAAATTGGCACGTTTATATAGTTTTTTTATTTGCGGGGGGGGGACGGCCGTTGTGCCCTCTACCGTTTTTTTCAGCACTGTTTTATGGCCATCCGCCATTTTTAAAAAAAATTAATCTTTAAAGTGACGTTACATATTGTAAGTTATCAACTAATAATATACATCATGTAACTGAATGGCCGGTGTGGTGCACACTACACCGGAACCCCCAGCGAGGTTGGAGCCCCTAAAAAGGCTAGTTTCAGCAGCGTTTTTTTTTTTTTTATTTTTCTACTTTTTACTTTTTTTCTACCCAAATTATATTATCAATCATCAACTATAATAATCGGCAGGTCCGGTGCTTCCTACCCCGAACCTCTCAGCCGCGTAGAGGCTCCATGCCTACTAGGAAGGGGTGGGGGAAGAAGTGCTAATTTCAGTAGTATTTATATTTTTAAATTGTAATTTTCTTTCTGAACAATTCTTTTAAATCAGTTAAGAGGGTAATATGTCTTGGAAAAATCATTTTTTATTCAGAGATTGTTTTTTTATTGATAGTAATAATAATACTAACCAGAAGTCTACGGCTAGTAATTAGAATAACATTTCTAGTCCGTATTTTTTACATTTCTAGAAAGACAAAACCGAGAAAATGATCGCTTAAAAAAATAAAAATGTTTAAAGATTTCAACGCATGACAAAATTTTCTCGAAAACTGTAATACTATTTTTAAAACAAATTTTTAAAACAATCCCGTTTGTGTTGTGTTGGAATCTTTGTAAAACTTTTTTTTTTTTCATCGGAGATGCGTCGGTGATTCATCTTTATGGAAATGTAAAAATTTGGAAATGTAAAAATGTATAATTTTGCTTTTGCCCGCTTGAGGATACATGGGCCAGTGGATAAAGCCGTTGGTTAGATCCGAAGAGTTGTGAGTTCAATACCAGGCCACAGCAGTGGTGAACCAAAAAAAAAACAACGTGGAGAGTTGGGTTAAAGGGAAATAACTGAGACGTCCGGAAGGTATCGCACGTGGAACTAGAACGGGTGGACGAAATAAAGGGTTCGTATCAAAATTCCATTCACCTGAAAAAGGCCGGAGCGTACAACGGCCGAAACGTTGTGAATATAGCAATGAAGATACCAGTCCGAATAATGTAATTAAAAATTTGCGACTTAAACATTTCTTTTTTCGAAGAAACTTTCGTCATGAAAATATTGGTGGTTATTACAAAAAGAATAACATTTTCTCAGATTTTTAAAAAATTAAAAAAAATCCTATTCATTAAAAAAGTAAATAATGAATATATAATGATTTTTTTTATTTAAATTGGATAATTCCCTGATTTTTGGTTATTTAAAAAAAACAAAACTCTACCCCCTCTCCTACAATTTTCCTTCGAGGGTTTGTGAAAGTTGGGAAACTTTGAAATCTACACGTCGGAGGCGGGACCCTAGCTACGGCCCTGGCCAAGATCATCGACGTCATCAAGAGACACGTCAAATATAAGAAGCTATTCCCCCCCCCCACTATGAATAGTCACAAATAATGCATTACAAGTATTCCTCGATTAGTGCGGCTAATTTGTACATTGGTATCTATAAAAGAATCAATTTTTAATTATCGTATTTGACGGCATATCAGGCGCATTTTTTTTTTTTACTAAAAATATCTTTTAAAATTCCCCTGCGTCTTATATGCCATATGTAGGTTTAAAATTCGCGATAGTCGGCCGAAATTAGCTACCTGGCAACTCCTGTTAGCTTAGACTTAAACATGAAGGGCCTGGTCACGGCCTTACACTTACAGGAAGAATAAAAAATACCTGCATGGCACAAGTCTGCGAACGGGTGAAGCAAGTTTAATATTAGACCAGAAATTGTGAAATCTTTTAAAAGTGTGGCATTAGCAATGCTCTCAATGGAACGGAAGATGACGCATTATTTAATGACGATGATAGTATTATTGAAAATCAGAATTTTGATAACGAAGACGACAAATTTTATGGATTTGAAGATGATTAAAATTTTAATGGTAACTGTACTGTGTCGGAGTTTCCTTGAAATTCCATCCTTGAACTGGCGGAGGAACAGGTCATTTTTAGACCTTTGAACTCTCATTCATGCTCCTTACACACTGTTAAATCGTCAGAGGACTAAATCAAACATCAACTTTTAGTTTGGTCTATATTACAAACCTAGTTGTAATATACTTCTAGTCATTTTTAGACATTAGTTATCTTTGGCTAACCTTGTAGTATTTTTACTATAGAGACTTTTCGGTTAGGGTTAGCTTTTAGCCAATTTCTCTTTGCTGGTCCCCTCGACACAAAGACAGTGATTTCTCCCAAGCTTTGAGGGAGGCTGTCGGCGGCCGCCCCGGTCGTTTACGCAGACCCCTTTGGCCTTCATTGGCCAGGGGCGCCGATCTACGGCTGTGTATTGTTACGCTCCCATTTCTTTTGTCTGCCAACTTGACGATAGTTGGGAACTTTCTTTCTCTCTCTTCCTTCCTTCATCCCGGCAATGACAAACAACGTTGGCAACACGAACTGCTTGGCATCCCGGCAATGACAAACAACGTTGGCAACACGAACTGCTGCAACAAGTTGGCATCCCGGCAATGACAAACAACGAGTTGGCAACACGAACTGCTGCAACAAGTTGGCACCCCGGCAACGACTCAGCTTCAACAACCAACAAAGATCATCCTGGCATCACCAACATCAACAACCACCAAGCGATCATCCTGGCAACAACCCACATCAGCTTTTTTTTAACAACGATGATCCTAGCAACTGCCAACCTCGACCATCAATGCCTGCACTAAAACTTCTGCAGTATCCAGAACTCCTGCAGCATCCGGCTCAATTAAACATGAAGCATCCAGAACTCCTGCATCATCCGGCTCACCCCTGCAGTATCCAGAACTCCTGCATCATCCGGCTTGCACAAGTCTGCAGTATCCAGCACCTCACCGTTTCCGACCATCTTCGTTTCCTTTTTCTTTTAGAAAAACCGCTATATATCATATATATCCTCGTTCTGTCGTCCATATTGTTTCACGGTCATGATTTAACGTCTTCAAAAAATGTTATCAGGCTTTTTGTGACCTCGTTCACCCCTTCCCGTGAAAATGGGCCAAACCGCCCGCTACAACTGCTTTGCTCAATTGTAATAAATGTTTGATTTTTATTTTGTTTTCTTACCTTTGGATATAATAAAGTTTTTATAGACTCATGTTCTTTTTTTTTCTATTATTTTTCGTTTAATTGTAATCATAGCTTGTTTAACCAAAATAATACCACATAAATATAGCCTAAGCTGTACCATTTACTAATAATTTTACTAATTACTAATTTTTTCTTGATTTTCCCTGCTGAAATTGGGGTGCGTCTTATACACCTGTGAATCTTATACGGTACTATGGTTAAACTGAAGTATGTTTACCGAACTAATCGAGTATTATGTGTGCACCAATCGAATTTTGGTATATAAATATTTTAGCGCACTAATCGAAAATGCATTCACCGAATGCGCATTAATCGAGGGATGCCTGTATTCGTAACATTAAATTTCAACAAAAAGATTTATTATTTAAAGCAACCATTTCTTTATTTTGTTTATAAAATTCTGAGTGTGTGCCGTGTCCAAATATGCTTAATGTCATTGAGATTCTGTTTCATCCACGATTATTTTGAACAAAAAACATTATTTGTATAACAATGATGGTTAACGGAGACGTGTAGTGATTGACTGAGCACTTGAGCAAAAATCTTTCTCATAACTATCGCCCATTATGCTTCAAATATTGTTACACCCATTGTCATCCTTGACAAGGTCGTTCATGACGGTTCATTTGCCTTTGTAAGTAATATAATCGAACCATTGATTGTAGCAATACACGTTTTAAGATTAAAAATGAAATAAAATTAAACGCTTTTAATTCTCCACATGCAACCCTATTAAAATATTCTTGATATATATATATATATATATATATATATGTATGTGTGTGTGTTTGTGTGTGTGTGTGTGTGTATGCGTGCATTTCTGTACATATCTGTATTTATATTTATGGGCGCCTTTACATATATGCATGTATATATATATTTTATATATGCTTTAATATGTGTGTGTGCGTATATATATATATATATATATATATATATATTAATTGTTTGATATAAGATATGATGATAATCGAGGGCAAATAAGTAGGTTTCTCAAAAACGATTCTTGTTGTCGCTATTTGTCAGGAAAGTTTTAAAATTCCTTTTGTTTGTGTTCATTCGGCTTTGGAAATTCAGTTCAAGAATCTAAAATCAACTTTCTGAGTCACTACTTTGATGGGAAAAAGCTAATTTATTCGCGATTTCGTTTTAAAATACCTTTTTATTCGGGCTGCCCCCCCCCCATTTTTCTTTTTTTTTATAAGTTACCTGTTTTTTTTTTTCTCTTTAATTTCACTTATTATCTGGTTATTAATTTCCAACTTTCTTTCTTTTCTTTCTTTCTTTCTTTCTTTCTTTTCTTTCTTTTCTTTTTCTTCACACAGTCAACAATATCTGCTTTTAGCCTCCCCCATATTCTTTTTTCTTTTCTTTTCTTTCTTTTCTTTTTTTTTCTTTTTTTTTTACACCAGTCAACAATAGCTAGTTTTATCCTCCTCATATTCTTTCTTTCTTTCTTTCTTTCTTTCTTTATTTATTTATTTCTTTCTTTCTTTCTTTCTTTCTTTCTTTCTTTCTTTCACACCAGTCAACATTATCTGCTTTTAGCCTCCTCATATTCTTTCTTTCTTTCTTTCTTTCTTTCTTTCTTTCTTTCTTTCTTTCTTTCTTTCTTTCTGTTTTTATCATTTTCTCACTCCCACTCTCTCTCTTCTTTATCCCTTTTGGCTCATTGCAGCCCAACCAGAATAAACTACCTTAACAGCTTGCAATAAAGGTATTTCTTTGAGCTTTTATAGTCTCCAATAATATATAGATGAACATTCATTTCACCTCCCACCCTACGACACCATCACTAAAGAAAGAATCTAAAAGTAAATGAGAAATGAATAAAAACCTCTCAAGAAAAAGCGCTGAAATCTCTGTCCTTCCATCTCATATCTGGCTGGGCCACTTTCTCTTCATATAATATTTTAGATGAATTGATTACACAAAAATAACAATGAATTACTCCTTCAATTTTCCCGTCATGCATTGCACCGTCCCTCCCATTACTTGATCGGCGGTTAATTCTCTCTCACTAATCAGAATTCTTACAATAGCAGTCGTCTAATATCAATACACATGTACACTTAGGCACGCACATATATTTATATTCATCTTTTATTTACAGGAGAAATTACCAATAGTTGCATAGAATATTTCATAAAAGGTTCTGTGTCTGGTGAATTATCGTGAAAGACTTATTTAGAGAAATTACTCGAACCAAAATGAAATATCCAAGCAACAATGAGCTGTCCGACGAGGATTGTGCAGGGTGATGGGAAACGCAGAGAATGGTGGAAAAATGATCCCTTTTTTTAAAAAAAATATTCTCTTCATATTGTCTTTTCTATTTTGAATAAAATAGCGTTTACTAAATGGTTGATTCAACTGACAAGTGGTGTCAGGATTCGCTCAAATGTACCTGAGGAAAGATAAAACGAGACTAATGGAGTGGAATTTGAGAGAGAGAGAGAGAGAGAGAGAGAGAGAGACAGACAGACAGACAGAGAGACAGAGAGACAGAGAGAGAGAGACAGAGAGAGAGACAGAGAGTAAAGAAAGAAGTGTGTGGAAAATAAGAGGAGTTGTATTTGTAAGCTTAATTGTGAATGTATGTGTGTTTGTGAAAAAAAAAAGAAAACGAAGGAAAGAAAGAGATAGAGAGAAAGAATAGGGAAATGAATGAAAAAAGATGAAGAGATAGACAGAAGAGGGATAGAAGGAAGAGAGAGAGAATGGAAAATGTGTGAAAAAATGAGAGGCGTTGTATTTGTATTCTTGACTACGAATGTGTATGTGTGTGTATGTGTGTTTGTGTATAAAGAAAGAGAGAGATAGAAAAAAAGTTAATAGAAAGAAGTAAAAGAGAAAGGCGAGGAAGCGAGGAAGATAGAAGAAAGAGAGAGAGAGAGAGAGAGAGGGGGGTGGGGTGGAAAAGAAGTGAGTGTAAAATGAGAGGCGTTGTGTTTGTATGCTTGAGTGAAAATGTGTGCGTGCAGAGAGAGAGAGAGAGAGAGAGAGAGAGAGGGCGATAGAAAGAAAGAGAGGGAAATAGAGAGAGAAACAGAGAAATAGAGAGAGACGAAGAAAGAAAAGCACAGTAAGAGAACAAGCGAGGGAATTTTAAGAGTGGGTATAAAAAGGAAAAATGAAAAGATAGGAAAAGACAAAAAAAACAAAACAAAACACCCCTCCAGAAAACCAGCAAAACGTAAAAGAGACAAGGGGATAGATAGATAGATAGATAGATAGATAGATATGGGCAGAAACAGATAGATAGATAGATAGATAAGTAATATTCTATACATTTTTACTTTGAAATTTTTCTCAAAAATACTTTGGGCAGTTCTTTTTCACTTATCTGCTCAAAGAAAGCCCCTGAAGCCATAAAGGAAAGAATGAAGCCCAAAGGATTCGAATTGGAATTGGATATCGGTTTTAACCCGTTCCTTTTACGCCTCTTACAGTCCGTATTCCATTTCCAATTCCTGAAAATCCATTAACCTCACACTCGTCACTGGTTGTCAGGTAAATGGAAACGAAATAGGACGATGATATTATCCCGACTTCCTCTCAAACCGACAAAATAGTCGTTAACGAGCGTAATGGAGAATCACTTCCGATCGTAATATTAACATCGACAACTAGTGCAACAACTCCATTTGAAGATCTAGCTGCAATGGAAAATGCGTACAGAAATATGCAACAAAATTTCCTTCTACTTTCTCCATTTTCCAGTCGTTTGGGCCTGATTTCATTGACATGTGGTTTGAAGTGTTTAAGAGAATAAAAAATTGGCGAAAGAAAACTGAGAATAATGAAATAAAAGAAGTACAAATTGTCGTCTGCCTTCCTTCATATTCAAAGGATAAAACGGATCCAATTAAGCGGACAAGTGAATTAGAACTTTAGTGTTCCAATCGTAAGATTTTTAGAATTATTTCACTACAAGCAAGGCAATAAAGCCACAGACGCAAGGAGTTACTGAGTGTCAGTAAATATGAGAAAAAGAAAACACTATTAAGGAGAGAGAACAATAAAAGAACAGGAATTAAAAAGACAGAAGATCACGATTGACAGTGGATTTAAATTTTAAAAGATCAAAGTTGACTGGAAAGACGCCGGAAGAGATTTCCACAAACGAGAAGTGCGATAGAAGAAACAGTTAGCATAGATCTTACGGTTACATCTACCCATTTCAACTGTAAGATGATGAGACCTTGCTGCTAATCAAGTCATATGCTTACATTCATAAAGTCTAGGTATCAAAAACGAAAGCTCATCAGAACAATTACCATGAAAATATTTATAGAAAAAGTACGGGTAAGCTACGTTGCGGCAGTTAGAAAGTGACTGAAGCCGGAATGCCAGGTCAGGACCGATAACATTGCAGATTTCTTTGTATTTTATCAAGAATCTCTCAATACATAGAAGAGGCGCCAAATCAGATGTGACAGCAATATTCAATGCATGGACGAATGGTAGACTTATGTATATTTTTATATTATTTTATTTATGTAAGATGGATTCTGTCAGGAAAGATTGTCTTGCACGACACAAAAAACCAACTCTTGTAGCAGCATATCTAGCAATTGATTCAATATAATCTTTCCAGTTCCGCATTTCGCCATGATCCAAATGTTAACTTTTTGACAATATCGGCCGGTCTAGGGAGTGCGGTTGTGAAATGACTGAATTCAATCCCACTGGTTACACCAAACGTTGTGAATGAAATTGGTGGACGGAACTGTTTGAAATTCTGCGATAATTGTTGTGGTTGCAAGTAATCGTGACAGAAGGTTTGAGCGTATTGGCCTTGGAAGCTGGATTATGTGTTCTGTTCGAAAATGTAATTAAGGTCCAGACAACATAGTTACAGTGGGTATTTACTAGTATGCGCATGACGTACAAGATACGACATAAGGTCGAGTTTCATGTGGGAGTTGAATTAGGCGCCACATAAAAATATTCAGCCATGTTTCTTTGCCGAAATTGGGTGTAGTGATCCGAGTGCTTTAGTTAATTATTGATAATTTTCAAAGAAAGCAATTAGAAGTCGAGAGATAGCTTGTAGAGAAGTTATGCTTTCGACACATACACACCTCATTTGTATTTATTATTAAAAAGTGTGTATTACGTCTATTGGCCTGCGGATTCGGAACACACACACACGCGCTCGCGCAAACGCGCGCGCGCGCGCACACACACACACACACACACACACACATTAAAATGCTTACTTTGTAAAACATTCCATAACTACAATGGATGAATTTAAAATTTTAAAATAACTATAACAAAAAAAATTAAAAATCATCATCACAACAAAATGCAGATTTTATCGCATTGACAATAAGTTTGTCTTTGTAATTTACCCCTGAAGATGATCGTAAAAAAGGTGGAAAGTACTTGATGAATTTCATCTTAACATCAAGAAACTGATTAAATAACTGGAAAGGATCAGTATAAAAGTAAGTAGACACAATATGTCTATATTATTCAATGAAACATGTTTGAATGAATTTATGCTGCTTAAACACACACACACACACACACACACACACATATATATATATATATATATAATACCGGCTGTAACAGCAGAATTATCTAAATCGTGTAACAGCATAATTGTCCATCCCACAAAATGTTTAATATCTAAGAAAACACTAAAGTAATTGAGTTTCTTTTTACTAGGTTTTCAGATAAGACGATTAGCCATCTTGACAGCATTTGTCGTAAGAATCACTAAAAAATCCTTTGAGTTATTCAGCGAGAAAGACAAACAGGTTAAAAACGTTTTATATCAGCCCCACTATATCTTCCCAACTGAGCAATGATGAGAAGAAAAAACTTTCAGTAATGGTATCAACATTCATATTCTGGCTTCCATCTTCAAAGTCCATTTAAGAACCATCAATTGGACGGTGAATAAGAGGAAAACTGGACCGGTAGTTCACAACAGGAAGAGGGATCATCATTTGAATTTAGAGCTAAAATGATCAATTAGAAAAGATCCAACTCATCCATAAGACGTTTGGTTCGTGAGAGAGGAGTTTCAGCTATGACAGTCCAAAGAGCAGTGAAAAAGACTTGAAAATGAAATCGTGCGTGAAACTTCTGAAGGTTAGAGTGTGAAGATCATCTTAAATAAGTTGGCAAATGATCCTGAACTATATATATATATATATATATATATATATATATATATATATATATATATATATATATATATATATATATTAATTCTTCATGAGCTTCTGATCCTTAGCTATGATTAATTAATGATGAACATGTCATTTTCGTTTATGATCGATTTTATCACGATTCTTCTATTAAGACTGGAGTGTAATTATACATTCTTATTGCTTAAAATAGTGTCCAATAGTATTATAAAATCCTCAGAGAATTCCAGTAAGATATCTTTAATCATTTCTAACATACAACGGTTCAAAGCTTAATATAGCAATTATACAATTTTGTTGTTACAGGTTTTGGGGACAATTTTTCAATTACATACATACATAACATACATACATACATACATATATATATATATATATATATATATATATATATATATATATATATATATAAGTAAAAGGTTTGTCATTTAGCTGATTGATGTTACTTTCAGCATTCCGACTCCAGAGTTCCCTAGACGGATCCTACGGGAATTATATCGTCCACTCGTCAGTGGGTATCAACAGTTGACTGCTTATATTTCTCT